GTCTACTTCCTTGATCTGTTTGTGTTCTTTGGTTGTGGAAGTATCAAACTGTTTTTAGTACTATTGCTCTGTGGTATAATTTGAAATCATTCAAAATTGCCTTGGATATCCAAGTTTTAATTTTTGTGCTGCCAAATGAAATTTGAATTTGTGTTCTCTATGTTTGTCAAGAATGTTATTGGAAAGCCGGGCGGTGGTGGCGCACGCCTTTAATCCCAGCACACGGGAGGCAGAGCCAGGCGGATCTCTGTGATTTCGAGGCCAGCCTGGCCCTTAAGTGAGTTCCAGGAAAGGCGCAAAGCTACACAGAGAAACTCTGTCTTGGAAAACCAAAAAAAAAAAAAAGAATGTTATTGGAATCTTTACTGGGATTGCATAGATAGGATGGTCACAGTTTTCACTTTCCATAGTTCTTGGGTGTTATTTTCATATTCTTCCAGTCCATAGCTATGAAAGCTTTTTCAATCTTCTACTATCTTCTTCAATTTCTTTCTTTAGTATCTTAAAGTTTTCAATGTAGAGTTTTTTTCATTTCCATAGTTGGAAATTAAATATTGTTGTTTCCCTTATGTCATTTTCAGTGTTTGTCATTGGGAGAAGATACAATCTTGAAGAGGTTGAGTACAGAGGGAGGTCTTCCATCATTAGAAACATGTTCTCAAACTGTTTCATGTTACCCTAGCCTATTCGTCTTCATGCTCATTGTTCCTGGTCCAAAGCAGCAAGGTTCAACTCATTGGATTGGAACCTCTGAGGCCATTACTTACAATGAAACTTCTGTCTTTATAGTATAGGAACAGAGTCTAATGCACTATTACTCAGCACTTTGTTTAGCTGACTTACTGTTTGTAGAAATGGAAGCTCTCATCAGTGTATCTTTGGTCTGTTGTATAGCCAGAATTCTCAGAGCTCATTTTAAATGGCTTCTTTATGGTGTGGTGATATTGTCTAATTTTCTGAAACTATTACTTGAACCATGGCCTAGAGAAAGTAAAGATATTTATAGAGTGTATACTGGGCATTGGGATATAGAGATGGGCAAGATAGAAAGCTTATACTGAAGAACGCTTCAATGAAGTATACATTGAGCACTCTTTCTTCCAGATAACCTGGACTAAATACTTCTTTCTGTTCTTATACTAGTCATAATTCATTTTGTTTGTGACCTGATAAGTTAAGTTGTTAGGCTGAGTAGAAGTTGGTGTAAGGAGTGATGATATGAGCATAACTTAATGGCTAATTCTTCCTTAAAAAGGAGATATTAGTATGTGCTCTTTCAGAAAGATGTAGATCACAGACTACAATTTCAAGTGCTCTCCAATGCCAGCCAAATTTTTATCTCTGAAGGAAGAATTCCAGGACAAACATAACATCCTGAGTGATCTCACTGCAGGTTGCTGGAGAATGGCCTTGTACAGCCTCTTGAAAGTGGCTTTAATGACATTTCTGCAAGGGTTCCTCCATGTATCTCTGCCAGATGGGAGGTTCTTTAGTGGCTCCTCTCCAGACTAAACCTGGTCGTGCTTCCACTGAGGGCTGTATAGTTTAGGTTGGTTGGTTAATTAACAAGCATTTAATAAACACCCACTGTGTGTGGAGAACTCTATGTGCAATTTTGCTTTTTACCTACACAAAACCTACTCACATAAAAGCTTGGCTCAACTCCCCCACTTTTTACTTCTGCTACTGTTTCTCAGTGTCAAGTTTCCTACAGTGATAATGATCTGAGCCATATACCTCTGCATTTTAATATTTTGTATTGATTTGATCTCTTATTGATCTAAGTGTAAAGTTAAATTTCTCAGCACAATTATAAGCACACAATTTTGTTTTATGACACTGTTAATTATACTTGAAGGAGACTTGGCTGTTGACTTGTTCTTGGACATTCATTTCTTGGTATAACTTTTCTAAGAATATTTCTTCTTTACAGATTCTGAGAAGCATGAAACTATTAATGATATAATCTAATTGTATTATGTTTTTGTATATGTATTTGTATATGTATAATTGCTTTAATGGTATAAACTATTTGATACAATCAAATCAATTTATAAGATGCTATCAACTCATTCCTTTCTCTTAAACTAAACAATACATTTTGAAGACAAAACTTTGAAAGTTTGCATAATAAAGGAAAAGTTAAAGTTTTCCTAAAATTAGAAATCAGCTTTGGCTAATATAATCAAATATAATACACAAGATTTATAACTGAAATTATTTTATTAAGAATAGGAAACCAAAGTTGATGATTTAAATTTTAGTTGTTTTCATTTTTGAAAGAAAAAATTACATGGCTACTTCATCTTTAGAAAAAGAATATATAGAAATGGGTATATTTATAAATCAAAGCTCTTTCCTTCTCCCTTTAGTGAACATTGTTTCATATCCTTTAAAGTTACATTCTACAAAATGGTGGCACAAGCAATAATAAAATTAAGCTAGTGTTCTAGTTGAGGATATAGTATCTGGCTCAGGACTGTTGTGTTTGGAACATGCTGGAAGACAGCCAGCAACTCTGGATAAGTATTAGGTTAAATGGGCTTAGCTTGGTAGCTCATGTCTGTGATACCAGAGCTTGGGAGACTGATACCAGAAAATTACTATACGTTCAAGACCAGTCTGGACTACATAGTGAGATCTTGTCTCAAAAACACAAAACCAAACAACAGAAATTTTAGACAAAATGAGCTGAAGTCAGTGCAGTCTGTGTCCATTATCTTGATGTTAGGCAAAGCCCTGATCAGATTATCTCTGTGGGTCTTAGGTAGAGCTGGACTGTCTTTTGGGTTACTCTTTCTAACTACTCACTCTGTGCCAAATCCTAGCAACAAATATACAACACATTGAACCATTGGCTAGACGCAAACTGCAAGTAGTTCACAATGCTGCTTTTTCCTTATCCCATCTTAATACTTTCTGTACTTTAATAGTCTGAAAGGGAAAATTATTCCAAAGGAAGTGTATCTTTTTTTTCTTTTCTCCTATTTCTGTGTTCGCAAAAGTGTCAGAAAAATGATTATAGGACTCTGTAAAATAAGCAGTAAGCAAGGATGTTTCCAAATGAAGCTAATAGAGCTCATGATTGGATCATGTGTGATTGCTGGTAGAAAAATATCTTTTAATACATTTAGTACAAATGGTTTTCTGTCATGCTATTCTAGCTGCTGTGCTTGCGATACTTATAATTTTCACCTCTTATTTTAGAATAGTTTAGACATTAAAATATTGCAATAATACATAGAGGTTGGATATTTATCATGTAGGTTTCACTATTGAAAAAGCTTTACATAAGTATAGCTATATAAAACAAGAAATTGATACAGTGTTGTTACTTAATCTACATTATGTTATTAGAATGTTTCAAATCTTCCTGATTGTGTCCCTTTTCTGATCCAGGATCTGACTTCAGATCTCACATTGCTTTTAGTAGATAGTTGTTTTCCTTATCTTACAGTGTGGGATGGCTTTTCAGTTTTTCTTTTCCTTACATGACTATGACCCCTATGAACAATGAACAATGAACAACATGTCTGTCAGTCTATCTACTGTCTGGCTGTTGCTAGGCTAATCTCTAACACATGAATTCAACTTGTCCTCCTGTTTTAGCCTCCAAATTCTGGGATTACAGGAATGTGTTACCATGTCTAGCTTCTTACTGAGTCTTTAACAAGGCCCTGTTTTTTTTTTTTTTTAATCTTTTGTGAAGGATGTGTCTGTGTTTGCATTCCTATGTGAAATGTGGATGCACATGTTTAAAGGTTAGAGGACAATCATAGGTGTTAGTCTCACTTTTCAGTTTGCTAAAGATAGGGATTCTTGTGTTTTTGTTTTATTTTGCTTGTTTTGTTTTTTGCTGAATTTGTTAGGCTAGTTATCCTGAAAGTCTCTGAAAGTTCTCTTTGCTCTCTGAATCAGAGTACTAGAATTATAGATGAAAGTTATCTTACATGGGTTTTGAGAACTTGTGCAGTGCATGATTTCACACTGAGGCATCTGCTCAGCCCTAGAATGTCCCTAAATTTACGATATTAGATTGAGGTTACATATTTGGAGGAACTATGTAGCCAGATAGAAATATGTATCCTTGAAGCTGAAATATCCTCTTCCAGTGAGATGAGAGAAGCTCTGCTGTGGATATCACTCTGTATGCTGTGAATGTGTTATTCTGATTTGGTGGATAAGTAAAATGCTGATTGGCCAGTAGCCAGGCAGGAAGTATAGTGTAGGTGGGTCAAGGAGAGAGGAAAATTCTGGGAAGAGAAAGGCTGAGTCAGGAGATTGCCAGCTGCTGCCACCAGGAGAAGCAAGATGTAAAGATACTGGTAAGCTGTGAGCCATGTGGCAAGGTATAGATTTATAGAAATTGGTTAATTTAAGATGTAAGATCTAGCTAACAAGAAGCCTGAGCCATTAGGCTATACACTTTTAATTAATATAAACCTCTGTGTGTTTATTTGGGTCTGAGGTTGCCGTCCCAGGCAAGACTGGAGAGAGCTCCAGCTACAAAGGTAAAGTGGCTTTCCAGGCTCAGTGAGTCCAGAAAGTTAAAGGGTTCATTTCCCCTCCAGCTATATGAATAGTAACACCTGCTAAGGAGAGGAGACTCTTGGGCCTGGTCTGATGACTGGTCTGTGTAGGGAGCTTCAGGGATGCAAACTTCTTGAGTCACAAGACCTGTTGAGGTGGCTTTTCAACAAAGTAACTGCTCTTTGAGTCAAGCATAACTCTGTCATTGATATTCCTTACTGGTAATTCTAATGAACTATTGGTTTACTAAGCAAGAACTAAGAGGAATTGTGGTCTGTTGTTGATGACCTGTCTGGGATAAACAGAAGTTTGTTTGCACTTCCCCAGGACAAGGAATGATTGTTTGTTGACTGTAGTGACCACTCACATTCCAATCTAAATAAAATGCTGTAGGACTTGCTGAATGAATTCATATGTCTGTCCTGGCCTTAAGAAGCAAGCAAGCATAGATATCTCTAACTTGGACTTACCTGCTTCAGCTGGTGCTTATTACTTCTTTTCCATTCCCTTTTACTTGATTTAGCTCCTGTTTTATCTTGTGATCTCATGTTTAAGACTCACTCATGAGGATCTGGTTTCCTCATCCTGTGACTGTGGAAAAAAATCATGTCAACAATACTAGCCTCATCTTAGCAGGAACATGACTTCTAGTCTCAGAGTTGGCCAGGTTCAGAGTAGATGCTGCATTCACAGTGGTCTTACTTTCACACTTACTTGTCTACCTGGAACTGATGATTCTACCCCAGACTCTGTTGCCCATAACTCTTTGTAGCACTTAAACACCAGAAACAAGATAACTGGTACACTGTCCAGTTTAAAAAATAAAACTAGGGCTTAAAATTTAGCTTACTGTAACAAAAGAGCTATTTCTTCTAAACCATGATTTTGCAGAACTTCCCTTCAACTGTTCATTTAGGGTACCATTCAAACAGCTCACTGATGAAATTCATTTATAGTGAATGCCTCCTTCATTTTGTGGTAACCTGCTGAGATGGAAAGTATTCTGAAATTAGATGAAACATAGTCTATTTTTGACAACTATGAAAGGGGAGATTCAGCGAATGTTGATGGGCTGAATTTCATAATACTTTAAAAGGAAGAGAGAAATATATATCCCATATGTATATGCACACACTTATGCATCTAGAAACTTCTTGCTTCTGAAAATTACCTTATTTTTACCATTGCAGTGATTAGCACCTGAAGCAGTTGTCAGAGAGACTACATTATCTGATAGAAAAAGTTTCTAGTCACCCAAATAACACTGAACACAACAAATCAAAATGTTATGTGCTCTTTCCTTCCTTTTTGTTATCACACATAGCAGTTTAGACTCTGAAATTTAGAATATATGAAAATAGGACAGGCATTACTAGATATAAGTAGAAAAAAGGAAACACACCATGCTGCAAATATTTGTGACAAAACAAGCCATTTCATTTTCCACACATAGATGGGGCCTCTGCTGCTTTTATCCTTTCCTTCTTCCTTTCTTCATTCCTTTCTTCCCTCCTTTCTTTCCTTTCTTTCTTCCCTCCTCCCTTCCTTTCCCTTCCCTTCCTCCCTCCTTCCCTCCCTCTCTTCCTCCCCTCCCTTCCTTCCTATTCTTTGTCTCCTCTTCCTCATGCTCCTCCTCCTGCTGCTCCTCTTCCTTCTCCTCTTCTTCCCGCTCCTTTTCCTTCTCCTCCTCCTCTTCTCTTCTCTTCTCTTTCTTATTTTCACCAGCAATCAATTTGACTGTAGTATATTAAAAGAACATTTCCTAGATGAACTAGGTGGGTATTTAAGGGACAATTTTTTTCATTAATGCAAAGCAATTAAAGCCACGAAGAGGAATTGCCAGTATTCAAATTTTATTCATTTGAAGGACTTTTTTTTTTTAAATCAAATAGTACACATAAAATGGGCTGATGCTCCGTGTAATCTGGCTTCATAGGTAGAAGTTGATCTGAAATCGCTAGTATGGAAATGAAAGTTCTAAAGATGAAAATAGCACACAAGTTGTCAAGGCTGAAGAACTCCTATTTTCAGACCCAGTTATATCTGCTTACGCTATGAAAGCATGCACACATATTTGCTTCTCTGAAAATACATTGTGTATATTTGCTTCCCACAGATGTCTGGTGAATCACCATACACTGTTTGCGATAGGTGAAAAAGATTTGAATATCTAATGAAATTGCAACAGCAATAATTATTGTATTTAAAAACTATATACACAAGGCAACCTGGGCTACAGATTGAGACCTTATTTAACTCACAACACAAAACAAAAACAAAGAAAAATCCAAGTAAATAAAAGATAATAAAACAAGAAAAAAATCACAGAGGTCAAATCTCTTGAGACATTTGAGGTTAGTATTGCCCGGTTGATAACTAGATTATTTAAGACCATCTGACTTTTCTCTTCTAGCTCTCTTTCAAGATGTTGGGAGATGTAGGCTAGTTTGGAGGGGCACCATCTTTTTATCTTCCTATCTGTCAACTATCAAGTGTCTGGGGACTCATCCTATTATCAAGAGTGTGAGCTACATGGTCCTTGGAGACCAGGAATTTTGCCATGGACAGTAAGATTCTAAATAGTAACAGAAATTATAGTAAATTACAGGATTAAATTGCACAGAGAATCGAGTCAGTTACTTAACTCAAAGCAGAAATCTCACAATATTTCCAAAGGATGGACAATTAACCTACAACTCAGCAATTTGACTCACATGCAAGCATGTGTTCTACCTTTCCCATTATTTGGCATTCTTCACTTTTAGAAATTCTTCAATTTTAGTTATCATGTCTCTTTGTGATATCATATGTTAATCCTATAATGGCTTGGGGCTACAGAGATGGCTCAGCAGTTAAGAATGAGTATTGCTCTTCCAATGTAGCCCAGTGTAGTTCCCAGCATTCATTTCAGGCCATTTCTAGTTATTATTACTATAGCTCATCAGTATGACTTGCAACCAAAAATGGTGGTACCTACAGCAGTGTTCTTTTTTTTTTTCATTTTTCTTTATTAAGAAATTTTCTACTCACTCCACATACCACCCACAGATCCCCCCTTCTCCCTCCTCCTACCCCCAGCCCCCTTTCCCAAGCCACCCCACATCCCCACATCCCCCAAATCAAGGTCTCCCATGGGGAGTCAGCAGAGCCTGGCACACTGAGCCTAGGCAGGTTCAAGCCCCCTCCCCCTGAACCAAGGCTATGCAAGGCATCACACCACAGGCACTGGATTCCCAGAAGCCTGTCCATGCACCAGGGACTGATCCTGATTCCCCAGTCTGGGTGCCTCCCATACAGTTTGAGCCAAACAACCATCTTCCATATCTAGAGGATCTATTTCAGTCCCATGGGGGCTCCACTGCCATCAGTCCACAGTTCATGTGCTTCCACTAGTGTGGCCGGTCATCTCTGCACGTCCTCCCATCATGATCTGATTTTGACATCCCTCGCCTGCAGAATCTCTCTTCTGTCTCATCAATTGGATTCCCGGAGCTCAGCCTGGTGCCTGACCATGGATCTCTGCATCTGCCTCCATCAGTCACTGGATAAAGGCTCTATGATGACAGCTAGGTTATTTGCTAGACCAGTCACCAGAGTAGACCAGTCGAGGCACCCTCTGGACCACTGCCAACAGACCAAGGTGGGGGCATCCTTGTGGATTCCTGAGAGCCTCCCCAGCACCCTGCCTCTTCCTATTCCCATAATGTCCTCATCTATCATGGTATCTTCCTCTCTGCCCTCCCACTCTGTCCCTGTTCCAGCTTGACCCTCCCATTTCCTTATGTTCTCATCCCCCACTCCTCACCCTCTGCCACCCCCCAACAACCAGTCCGCTCATGTTGATCTCATCCACTTCCTCACAGGGTCATCCATGTGTCCCTCCTAGGGTCTTTCCCAGTTAGCTAGCCTCTCTGGCGTTGTGGGTTGCAGGCTGGCCATCCCTTCCTTCACATCTAGTATCCACTTATGAGTGAGTACATATTATGTTTGTCCTTCTGAGTCTGGGTTACCTTACTCAAGATGATATTTTCTAGTTTCATCCATTTGCCTGCAAATTTCATGATATCATTGTTTTGTTAATGCTGAGTAGTACTCCGTTGTATGTATGTGCCACATTTTCATTATCCATTTTTCAGTTGAGGGGCATCTAGGTTTTTTCCAGGTTCTTGCTATTATGAATAATGCTGATATGGACATGGTTGAGCATGTGTCCTTGTGGTAAGATTGAGCATTCCTTGGGTATATGCCCAAGAGTGATATAGCTGGGTCTTGAGGAAGACATATTCCCAATTTTCTGAGAAACCACCATACTGATTTCCAGAGTGTCTGTACAAGTTTGCATTCCGACCAACAATGGAGGAGTGTTCCCCTTGCTCCACATCCTCTCCAACATAATACAGCAGTGTTATTATTCAAAATTTCTTTGTCTGAAGTCTTTTATTCTTCCATGTGATTTTGAAGTATTTTTTTTTCTATTTTTCTATTTCTGTAAAGAACTAAGTTGGCATTTTGATCAGAATTGCATTAAATTTGTAAATTTTCTTAGTTGGGATGGCCATTTTAAAAATATTAATCCTACAAGTTCATTAGTAAATAGGAAATCTATCCATCTTCTATTGTCTTCTTCAACTTCTTTCTTCAGTGTTTTAAAGTTTCCATTATATAGTTCTTTTTTCCCCCCTTGGCTTGGTTTTTTCCATCCTTCTTCCCCTCTCCCCGCTTAGCTACCATTGATGGGATTGTTTCCCTGATCTCTTCAATATATTTCTCTTTGTTACACAGTAAGTCTACTCATTTTTTTTTATGTATAGAGGTTTCAAAAGTTCATAATGGGTCCAGTCCCTCTCTTTATGCCTCCAACCTACAGGTAAGATATAAGCTCTAAGCTAGTGCTTCAGCACCATAACTCCCTGCCTCCCTACTGTCACGCTCCTCACCATGATGGTCATAGACTTACCCTCTGAAGCTGCAAGCAAGCCTCCAACTAATGCAACTATTTGCATTGGTCATGATTTCTCTTCATAGAAATATAAATGGAACTAAGACAGTGTGCTACTTTTTGGCCTGCCATTTGCTGAAAGTGTTCATCTGCTTTGAAGTTTCTTTTTAAGTTTCTCTCACGTATAGCATCATGCCTTTTTCAAATAGAGATATTTATCTTCTTCATCTCCTATTTGTTGCCTTTTTAATTCCTTCTCTTATCCTATCTCTCTAGCTAGGACTTCAGGTACTGTTTGTGGGAATGGGGAGAGTGGCAAATTTTTGTTGTTGTTATTGTTGTTGCTAAACTTAATGGGCATGTTTAAAGGTTTTCTGCATTTAATATGATGTTGGCTTTAGTCCTTCCAACCCTTGTATCCCCGATCTTTTAACATGAAGGGTAATCAGATTTAATCAAAGGCCTTTTCTGCATCAGAAATGACACAGATTATACCATTTCTGTACTTAAAACCATTTCTGTGATGAATGACATCTGTTAAAGTCTATATGTTGAACCATGCCTCTTTGTTTAGAATGAAGCCAGTATGATTATGTGGAGGATCCTTTTGATGGATTCTTGAATTCAGTTTTCAAGTAGTTTACTGAGATTTTTTTCTTGCACTTACACACCTCAGGGAAATTGTTCTACTGTGTGTGTGTGTGTGTGTGTGTGTGTGTGTGTGTGTGTGTGTGTGTGTTTGATTTGTTTGGTTTTGAAATTTTGAAATCAGGACATGATTGGCTTGTAAAAAGAGTTTTGAAGCCTTCCTTCCTTTTCCATTTTATTTTCTATGAATTTGAGAAGTACTGCTGTTTTTCTTTGAGTCTAATAGAATTTGAGCCAAATTCAGCTAGAACCAAATTCTGGAAGATTATAAATTACTGCT